TGATTCATCTTCAAAAACATAAGTGAAATTATTCGTTCAAATTTCCGTAATACCTTCGATTGCTTGAATCCACCAAGTACGCCAACAATGAAAGACATTGTTGTAAACAAGACAAATGCAATCTGACGGTGAATCACTTGCAAGTTTAGCGATGTAACTAAATTGTTTCGTTGTGAAAATTATCTGCAATTTCAAAGATTCAAACTGCCCATTTCTAATGAAACCAATCCCAAATTCATCGTATACTCACTAGCCATTACTTATACTAAATACCAGTTATGAACTGGAATTATGTTCCAAAAGCACACCAATAATTTCATCATGCTAAATAATATACCAGTTGTCAACTCCTTTTCTAATGAACTGATATTCTGAATACCAATCGTTCAATATGATTATGAAACATCACCACAAAAAACCCGTCCATTGCAAGGTAATAGTGTCCTACATAAATCATTATCGATCATAACAACCTCTTCGTCGAATCGACCGGAAACTCAACCGATCGTTAACATACTACATCTAANCGTTTTTAATATGTGAGAATACGTTCACTTAATATGTGAGAATAATATGTTGTGAGTTAAATGCATTGGTCAAAAACATCGAATGAATTTGTTTAATTTTCAAAAAATCAACTAGTTGCAAGTAATGTGCACTGAACGAACAGAAACAACAACATCAAAATAACATTTTATCGCGGCTTATAGGCCCAAACAAAAACAACGGCGGAACAAATACAAATCAAGTGTGTTTCAAAGTAACATTTCAACAACAAACTTAAACACTCTCTTGAACTGGTGGCTCATAATCGTCAGGTCTATCGACTTTTTCACCTTCAGCATTCGTGTATGAGCTCACATCACCATGCATCTCCATTAAACGTCCTACTTCGAACTTTGGCTTCTTTAGAATCTTCACCTTACGAATGTATACATCTTGCAGCGGATAAATGTACGCACATGCTTTCTCGATATCTTTGCCGATTGAGTCGGGGATCAACTTGTTACAAACTTCACGCAAATCACTTCCTTGAACCTTAAATTAACTTCAACATTCACTAACATTCCATCAAATATGCAACCGATCGGTTATATCATTCGAGAGAAAGCAAAAATAAAGTGCATTTTGTGTTTTTAATTGGATAATTAATACTCCAATTTGAAAACTTCCGAAGCACTCTCTGTTAATTACACAACACAAAAGGAAAGAGAACCAACCTCCTTTTGCATGTGCTCAACCATCTTGGCACGAATCTGCCTAATCTTTGACGATTTCGCATAGCTTGTCTTCTTGATCTGACCGACCACTTTCTTCGTGAAACCGATACAGAACAGTCGCAACAAATAGCCGTCCGATGTCTTCACAGCTACGTTTGCTTCGATCAGCGTCTAAAAAGCCATCTGCATTAGAGCAAAGCCCACTAAACAATTAATGGCCGGTGACATTCACATGCATCGTGAATGTGACAGTTAACAGCTATATGCATCAAATTGCATATTTTTATCTGCCGATTCTTTGGAATGCGCAGAATAGTGCATACTGCAGAATCAGGCTCGATGATTTTTTCATTAGGATATTGATGTGTTGGGAAAATGCAGATCAAAATGAACCGTCATGAAAGAGTTCAAAATGAAATAAGAGGAATTTATTTATTCTTCTCAGTTGCTATGAACACTTAACGATCATCTGTAATCGCCGTTTCAGCTCGGAAAAGACAAATTTACAAACAATCTTTTCAAGCGGATAAAGGCGATTGCCTCACACTCTACACTTTTGCTTTTCGTATAGTCGCCATATTTTTAAGCTGATTCAACAATATGACGAATCCTGGAAAAGCGAATTCAAAACCATGCGGAGTGTCACGACAATGAAAACCGTCACTTCGATCTTCTGGATGGTAGCAAATCCACAACATAGTAGAACGGTTGCAGTGGGATGCTTCTACTTATTCAGCCAGTCATTTAGATAAGTTCGTTACACTGCTAGAAGTGATTCCCTTTTGCAGATGGTCGTTTTTCGCTAAGATGACTGTTAAATACTTACGTGCCACTTCTTAACAATTGAGCAGAGTTTATCCCTCGTGAATTTCATTCCGTGGAAGTTCGTAAGACAATTTCTGCCTTGAACATCTTCGCAGATCAGTCGAAATTTACGGAAGTCGAATTCAGAGTTGTTCAAATCGCCCAAAGACACCTCGAAGACACGTCCTTTCAGTCCTTCGCTCGCTATCTCTAAAATCCGACAAAGATAACATTATTTAAAATCATAATGGTAATAAATATGATTTTTTTCTTTACGGAAATGGAAAGCGAAACAACGGACTGTGAACTGACTTGTTCCTTGTGTACGATTCACCAAAGTTTTGCCGACTTGACGATTAGTGAACATCGATGGTGCTTTGATATCATACCATTCCTTACGAGTGAACGGATCCACTATCTTCTTCTTCGCTCCCTTCTTGCCCATTTTCTTATTTTTGCCGACCGCCATTATGAGCCCTCGGAACTGCTATAAGGTATTCATGATATACTACAGCAATACAACTTTGTTTAACAACGCATCATTCAGAAACAAAACGCAATCATACTATCCACTTTAAAAACACTGTTCAAAGGAATCCACAAACAACTTGAGCGTGCAAATGATACATCAATACCAGTAAAATTCTCCGGCAAGATATTCTCTAACAACAACTGATTGATCAATATGTGCAACTAATTTACACTAGATGATCTGCATTCAACGTGAAACCACTGAAAGTTGTTTAAATTTTTTATAACATTAATTTTGAAGCAAATCAAAACAGAACGACGAATAGACACTGAAAAATCCGCAAGCAAGGTATGCCTGCCTTCATGCACACGTTGAGAACCTCACTCGTCAACGGCAAACGCTTTCCGCCAGGTGCTAAACCCGAACCACCCCGGCACAAACCCAAAAAACCACAGATTTCCTACTACACCCGTGCAGTGAATCGAAATTTAGGTTCTCACCACACCGACACCTATCTTCCAAATCATTCGCACACTCTACGCATCAAAATCCTAAATACCGTATTCCGAGCAGAGCATCGTCAATCGTTCGTTCTCAACGATCATGCGGTTCGCTGCCAAGGACTACTGGTTTGTTTCGTCTTTTTTTTGTTGGATATGAACTGGCAACGGATCTTAATTTCAGGATAAGTTGTTGTTGGGTGGAGTGCGGTAATGGAGTTTGCTCGCGTGGATGTGCTGGATGTTATATGCACATGACTGCACAATTATGCGATAAATTCGATTAGATTTCTATGAGAGCGCATTAATTCCACTCAGAAATCCAATTTATTTACAATGAAATTAACCTCTTTTTGCAAAGGAAATCGTCACTTCTACCTAATATGTTTCATCATGTTAATCCAAGCCGCATGTTTCCATGAAAGAGTATGTATGAGTGGAAATTACCGTTGCACTTATGTTAACAAGCACAAAGTACTTTTTACGGAGTAAAGAGCTCGCGATCGTTTTCCATTATCGAATGTGCCGTTCTGCTGAAAAATTATTATTCATGTTTTGTAAGATGTTTTGCTAATTCGTTGAAAGGTTTATTTTGAGTAAGATTCGCAAATGCTTACTGTGGATTTATGGGTCACATTGGGTAGTCTGTTGAATAAATTGGTGTGACCGGTATGAATTAGGTGCAATAATTGAAAGTCAATTCAGTCTCTGTTTAGCCTCGCGTTTGACTTGTTTCTGTTACGTCTTGGTTTGCTGGTGTTTTTTTTTTGTGATAACCTATTGAATCTGCGATCAGAACTTTCGAAATGGATAGCATGAAAATAATGAGAGCAGTTCTAGGATTTTGTACTAGTTTTTGTATGGGATGGAATAATGACACGTCATTTATCAAGAAAGGCCTCTATCCGAGGTTGATGGTATAGAGCAAGTTTGACGGCCTTCTTCACATCCGCATACTTACAAATTATTGACTTGTTTCATATAGTTGCCACAAAATCTTATTTTTCCACGACGTTCGAAATCTTTTCCATTTTTTTCATTGTTTCGTCTACTTATTACACCTAATGTTGCATATGATTTCGTAAATGACACACCTATTACCATAAACTTGTATTCTCTCGTTCACTTATCTGGCTGAATTTCATAATAATATAACGTCAAAATGCCACTATCAAATTGATTCATCCAATCAGTAGCATCGAAAATGACCCATTACGAGCACATGTGCGCCTCACTGCTCTTATATTTATCACCTGTTCTGTTCTCTGCTTATTAATGTATGCTGCTTATTAACATGTAATTCCTCTTCATAAACTGAAGTGCTTTTTTTGATAATCTTTCGCGTGTGTGTTGAATTCATGTGGTACGTTGTGACGACTCAAAGTTTGCATAAGTGATTGATAAATAAATTTCAGTGTAAATAGATATATAGATAAGTAAAGAAGTGAGTAATAGTAATAATCATAATAATGTCGAGACGCGAATCAGAAAGTGAAGATGAGAAGATGAAAGCTCTGGCAGCGGTATTAAGTGATGATGATAGTCGACGTTATCAATATACACGTGATCAGTTGCTCAGCATTCGTCAGAGTGCGCTCAGTTGTGTACGGCCTGAGTATCTTTCTGTTGAATTTGATAAGTGAGTGCTTTTATCATTTTGCATTTTTTGAATTTTATTACGTCGTAATTGAGCAGTTGTTATTATCGCACTAAGCCTTGTTCACTTTTATGCAACATTTTAGATGATCATATCAACCGATGAGAAGCAAGCATGAAATAAGTTTTTATTTGGTTGTTTCAGTGAAGATGGAAAGTTTATGCCTGAGAAATGGTTGGAGTATCGTTGGATGTGTGAAGGTGTTGAGAATCGTCCGAGTGCGGGTGCTAGACGTAAGGAGAAGCTGAAAGCCGAAGCATTGGAAAGTGCTGATTCTACAGTTCTCTCTCCCCAAAGACGCGCCTTCTCGTCTGGATGCAGAGCCGCATCACCATCCAAAAACGGTGAATGAATGTTTGAATCGTGAATGGATGATTCATTTTTAGAATCGCTTCAGTCACAAATTCACTGATGTCGTGTGCACCTCTCATTTTGGTGTGTGCGTGATAATTTAATTCCCACAAATATTCTTGAAATCATCAACAAAATTCAATAAATCCTCTTCATACACTGTTGTGTGAGAAGAGGTATAATGATGAATTTAACTGTTCGCTTTCTGTTTTTAGAGGGCGAACCTGAGAGACTGGGAGTGAATAAAGGAAACTGGCGAAGTGGTGCGGGCTTTATGCTGAAAAATTCCACGTCTACAGATTTCAAGCCAGCATTCGTAGGTTTCAACCTGTAACCTTTATGTATTGATATGTATCACTGAAGCATTCTGAGGATATGATGATGAATGATAGTTCGGTACGTAAACTGCTTTAAATCACGCAGTATTGAAGAGAAATATTATGCTGAGCGCTTCGCGTTCTATATATTTAATATTTGTTCATTTTAGATGTTCCGTAGAAATAAANTGTTCTGAATGTCCTATCGATATGTTTTTTTACGGAAAATGGGGGGAGAGAAATTACGGTGTTTTTGTATAAGAAGTTTTAGAAAGATGCATATATGAGAACTAATACGGCAGGTAGAAGTAACTGAGATTAATTAAGGGTCGAAGGAATGCATCGAGCGGTGAGGAAAAGATGCCCGAATGGTTGAACGAAGGACCGACGTCGATGTTAGATATGATCGAATTGAAGGGTTTCGATGACGAACAGCACGGCAAATCGAAACGTTTGTTCGTTTGAAATAATTCAGCATTGATCATCTTCTTAGTTATTGATCTCTCACAATTAGTGTTTGTTTCATTATTACATAAGATTACCATAAAGTTTCATTCAATCGTAAAACAAAACTTTCGTAAAGAAACATTAATTCATATTGTTGATGTGAAAATTTGTTAGCTCCACAACTAAAATTGCTCTGAGGTTTCGTTTCATTGAAGAGTTGAATGTTTAGGAGTGCAGTCAGCACGAAGTAAACGCGAAACAGTGGCTAGCAAACAGTTGCAGCAAGCCATGTCCTCTTCATGCCAACGATCCGCACGAAACAACACCTCTGCCCACCAACAACAACCGTCACACTCCTCAACTGTCACTTCATCGTCTTCGGCCACTTCATCCGCTTCCTCACGAACCACTTCGTCGTCGATCACCGCTCCATCGGCCAATAATATCACTCCGTCACAAACTCCACCGATCGCAACTAGTGGTGACAAGACAGATAAAGATAACGATTATGAGAAGGCATCTGATAAGGGTAGTGCTCTTAAGCACTCAACACTGGCTCAACAGAATGAGCACTGTTCATCAACAAGTGGTACGAATCAAACCGTCAGAATACCTCCTGAACTGGCCGCCTCGATGTCACCGATTCTGAATGGTAAATTGCCGAATTCGGATGCTGAATTTGCAGCCATTTTTGGCTTGTTGGGCGAAAACGATTTGAATTCGATCAAACAGGTTGGTTTTTTCTTTTGAACATTCATTTGCTTGTTGTTTTTAAAGTGTGGCTGATTCATGTGTGAATTATGATTGTTTGTAGATTGAATATGTGAATGTATTTTTTGACAGTTTCGGCGATCAATTTCTTTTTTCGTTCATTTTTATCGTTTGTTTTATTTAAGCGCTCGAGGATGTTGTAGCATCCTCATCTTCATTTTGAAAAATGTGTTCATAAAAGAGTTATTGTTGATGCATGCATTTATGGTCTATTGAATAAATATTGAGAGCGAATGGTTCATTNTTTTTTTTTTCAGAAGGATACGAATTCAAGTGCACTGCAACCACCATCGGTGACCGGTAGCCGTTTATCACGTTTCTTTGCCACTCCACTCAGCAATGACCAGCCGAATGCTAACGGTATCACTTGTTCGGTTCATTCATGTCGCATAAAATATGATTTCTGAAATTAATTTGAATTTGCTTTTCACGGGGGTAACTTATGTCAGTAAGCGTTTGTATTGGAAAGAATGGCGTAATTCAGCAGTGGGTTATTCATTAGGAAGAGTTTCTGTTGAGATATAATATGATCAGATTGGTACTTCTATTTCAGCCTTTATATTGTTCATTAACATTACCAATTTTGGTCAATTGATGAAATAAATGGTTTCAGCTGAATCGGATGGGACAAGCAGTACAGGTGGTGGCACTTCACGTATAACTCCACCGAATGCAAACGTCCCCTCACCCTTACAATCTTCCTCTTCTTCAACCACAACGGCTAATCCAATTCTTCAGAAACTCTTCAATAGTTCCCCTCAACAAACTGCACAAGCACCAGTTTTTCAAGAAATGGTTGGCATTTGTTTATTTGTTTAATTCCGTATTCACAAGCAGTGTGCATCGTCATTTTGAAACACCGTATCGTTTAGGGTCAGACGTTTGTTTGGAGTAGTAAATGTTGTGATTGTGCTATCGGTGTATTGTGATGTGGTTGATGATTATTGAATGTGTTCAGCGGAGTGCGATCCCACTGCAGCATATGATGCGAGTGGAAGACCTCGAACGAGGCTTCCAACAAGAAGCAGCCGCGAACAGCGCAACAGCGCCGAACAGTTCGAGTAATGCACCATTCCAGAAGGAGTTCATCTCGGATGATGGCAGTGAACATCTGCGTGCTCTGGGTCTTGATACCGTGCCGAGCAGTAATTATTTGAACAAACATGCGGTTCGTTCTTTGAATGCTAATTCATTTTGATTTGGTGTTGAGTTGTCGAATAGTTTGATAATATGACTCTATGTTTTTTGAGTTGTATATACATACTCATGGACTTTGACTAATTTCGTTCATGTTGCATGGAGTGTTAATCAGTTATGTGTTAAATACTCATGAATATTGAGCGATGGATGAGACAACAAAATCTTACGTTGTTCTCTGGGGTGTTCAAGCATCGTGATTGATGACTGTATGTGTGTAATGGAATGGCACAATAACTAAAGACGTGTACAATGATTTCAGATGAAGGATGCTTCGTATCAACACCAAATGCATTTGATGAATAACAATAATAATGCCAATTCGATCTTGTCACGTCTGTCGTCAACTCAAGCGTCTGCATCTGCAGTGCGTGCACCGCTGCCTCAATCAAATCTTGCATCGCAACACCAGTATATGTCGTATCCAACCAGTACTACTTCCCTCTCAACACCATCCCCCAATTTATTACCTCCCCCCAATAACAGTGATCAGACCGTAACGGCGCTGCAGGCAGCTGCTTTTATGCGACAGCAATATGAGGCTGCTGCAATCCTTCAACAGATTCACGCACTGCAACAACAACAGCAACAGTTGACTGGTGGTGCGTCTGGTGCTCAGTTCGGCGGTGATTTCAATGCCGTGAGGTTTGTGCTTTTTTGAATGTAACTTCTTATTTTGATGAAATAGTACAGCGATGGATTAGCGATGAATACGTTTTTTTTTTGTTAGTTCGTCAAGTTTTTGAGTTCTTAACGCTTGACAGACAAACGAAGTGACAAATCCAGTGTTTTCATTTCTCACTTCAAAGTTATTATTATTCATCGCTCAACTTCATATACAATTTTATTGCAAGATCAACATTTAGCACTGTT